CTTTTTTCATGGCGTGGCTGCATGTTGATGCATTTTGGAATTAAGAGTCATACTGTGGACAGAAATTTGTTTCTAAATCATATTTTCAACTGGACATGTCCTTCGACTTCATGTTAGTTATATTCATTGATCATTGTCATGCTGAAATCCATCTTGATGAAAATATGGATAATTTTAGACTGGTGCGTTTCCAATGATGTTCAGTATATATTCCCTACCGTGACCATCTCTGTACAGTATCAGTATAACACTATACAGATTGCAGTATCGTCCATCCTGACAGCACTGGCATTATTCATTCATGTCCCCTGACCTTCAGTCAACCAAAGCCGGAGTAACAAACATTTACTGAGTACATTTTGCAAAAGAAATTGTAATTCATGTGACATTTCTGCAACAATGTATATTGGTCATTGAAGGAGATCAGAAATTAGTTCAATTTGAAGTTATGTACAGTAAGCCATACAAAAGCCCCGTATTCTAGTTTTGCATGCAACAGTAACACGCGTTTAAAGGGTTGTTTATATTTTAATATGCAGCTGTAAACAACATTGACATATGTAAACAAGTCTGGCAAACCAGTGGTTGATAAAGTGAACACCGACTTACATCGTCAGACCGCGATGACACACACTCAGTCAGGCCACATAATGTAATCATCCGACCACTACTGTAGTTGTAACAATCACTGGTTCGTCTGGTCCAAACTCGAGTATCGACTGACCGCCTTTATTTAGCTGGAACACCACTGAGCGCGCCGTTAAACAACAGTTTGAAGGCATGCTTGAATGCCTCATCTAGATTGATAAAACGACAAATTAATGTATGTTTATAATATAAATACATCAGTGTTATCTACAATATCTTGCATATGTTAACAAAACCCCATTTAATGGAGGCGATCGTGGTTCAGATGTGATAATAATCCTCCGTACATTATAGCACATGCATTCAACCTCACTAAAGTAACGCCCTATGATGGTCGTGTCTGCAATTAGAAGTCAAAAGGTTCGAGAGAATAAACGTCATAATTGGTCCAACCCGTCTGTAAGGTCGAAGGTGGCCAATTACATCATATTAAATATTCCATGTGTGTGAAACAGACCGTGGGATAGATTGCAGAGCTTCATTAGGTCCGTCATCCAAGACAGTCCCAGCAGACCCGTCTCATAGGAGTCGACTCATTACACGATGAGCTCTCCTCCACCGCACACCAAGCGTCATCTACAATACCTGGCCTAGCGTGTACAATAAACGCGGGGCGTAGTTGTAACTTGTTAACGTGGGATTGTTTACACCTGCCCCGTCGGAATGTTCAGGTAGACAAATGACGTGATGCATCGACGTCCATGTTGTACTTTATAAAGCCGGGATTTGTCGATATCGGGGACATGCGCTGTTTAATTAAACTGAACACTGTTCTAGTAGAAACCGTTCCCTGTAAGGATGCGCTGGTTGTGGATCCACGAGTAAGATTAAGCGTCTCTCACAGTTATAACCGGATATACTTGAGAATAGTGAGCGAGTTTCCGCCGCTGTGACCGCAATACCAATTATATAGCGGGGTGTTAGCGTGGCGTGGGAGAAACACTGTGTAACACATGCCACCCGAGGGAACCGACGGTCATGGTGCCCACAAACCTAGACAGAAAATAAGGGCAATGGTGGGATTCGAACCCATTTCCGGAAGGTTGGACTGACTTCTGAAGATCGCGCATAGCTTAGAATGACAATACACGACTTTGATCTAACGGCGTGTATCGGTTTAGTTGATATTATATAGCCCTGCACATGAGTGATGATTTCATCACAAATGGTATGTGAGTGAGTGAGTGAGTGAGTTTAGTTTTACGCCGCTTTTAGCAATATTCCAGCAATATCACGGCGGGGGACACCAGAAATGGGCTTCACACATTGTACCCATGTGGGGAATCGAACCCGGGTCTTCGGCGTGACGAGCGAACGCTTTAACCACTAGGCTACCCCACCGCCCCCAAATGGTGTGTAGTGCTATTTGACCACGGATAGTCCAGGGTAGAAAGTTCGGTAATATAGAGCAGTGGATCTGGAGAAAACAACACGCGATGTCGACCAATAACCAGAACAAGGAGACTACAGTAGGCCATTGTCTCCATATCACTGTTCTCTGTACAGGACGGACATGTTTTCTGGCATGACTAATCGTTGCTAATACGAACATAATTCACTTAAGTGTTTTGCATGATACAGTGCACATAAAAATAAACAACCTCTCAATCGCGAGGACCGAGGCTGTTTGTTTTGAGTATGTGTGTAATTTAGTTTGGTCTTCTCTGGAATATTTTGGTACATTACTGAGATTGGTTCAGGACAAATAGATTGCGATTAGCTTGTTTCTTTGTTTTCATTGTAAAAGTTGTCAATAAAGAAGCACTAAGAAATGAATGGTATCTATTATTTGTGGGATAATGTGAAGTATTTGATCGTATTGCAGCAATGTGCCTGAGCAAACAAAAACCTGACATCGATGGAAGGAAAGCAATTTGGCATGATTTTGTTTGCCTGGTAAAGAGAATCACAATGTATCGACACATGTTCATCAGATGCATCTTTTAATGGTGCTGACGGAACATGTTGTTGGTTTTCATATTTCTAATCAATTTCGAAAAGCTATCAGATAACTTTGGGTTTTCTCGTCTGTCTGAGTGGCATCACGATTAAGCAAATTAGTTTGATGAAATCAGCAAAAAAATAAGTTTCCAATATTGCTTTAATGAATTCAGCTGCATGGTCGTGTCGGATACTGAACACATAATACCAAGTTAATGTTACCTCCAACAAACACCCGAGAGTCTCCGGAAACACGTGGGAGTGTGTTCAGATTCCATCCAATTATATAATACATTTATCGTGGAAGTAACACGCACCCGGTGGCAGTATAAACATATTGGCGTTTCATAAATCGGATATCCATAGGACAACTTCATGAGTTGAGTGCATGCAATCAGATTTCACTGCTACACGTGTTGTGCCGGTGTGCAGGTGATGATCACGACTGCGGGGATCAGTCGTTACTGACACAGTCGATTGTGCACAATAATGACTGTAGGTTTGATCTGTTGCACCATCGACGTGCACGTCACTGTTGGGAGCGGGGAACACGTTGATTGACATGACATGTTCATAATTAGGAAAACGTGATTACTATTACCCAACAGCGATATCACAGAACACCAATTATACACCCTGACACGATGTTGACGACATACAGATCATGTAACCTGCACCGATGTTGAATAACTTCCGTAATGCGAAAATCGTGCAAGAGAAAATTAAAGTTGAAATATTCTACGGTAACGCATTATTAAGATTTATTGAAAACATGCCTTTGAGGATGGTCGGTGATTGACAAGTGACATGGACGGAGCGTGTAATCGGCAACGTGAACGTGCGAGATATTCCATCACCGTCGACGTGCAATCAAAGATCATGATGCTTAACGTGAAACGCCAAGAGCGGATTTCATTAAACCCTTTGAAATATTTGTTCCAAAGTTTTGAGTTGTGTATAATTTAATGTTGTTTATGTTCCATTACATCAAATTGTAAACGTTATCATTTTCAGTGCTCTTTGATGTGTGCAGCGGAGTGCGATTTCATCTGATAGGCAATCAGAGTATGGTATTTATCAGGGCCCGGCTCAAGGCCTTATGAAAATAGTTGTAATAAAACCATTCCTTGGGTTTGTGTTTTTATCATCAGCCCGGATCATGTATATATTGAAGGGTTTTCCATCAGACACGATAAATGTTACGCTAGTTCTCAGTACACCTGTTTTGACAAACGGGAGTAACTCGGTCTCATGAGAGAAGTTTCTAATGGGATAGACAGCGTAGTGATACGGTTACTGTGGTAACGAAATGAATCCGTCAAATACTGAAATAATTCTTTTATTGACAGAGGAATAACATAACAAGGCAAATCATTGCACAAATGACGTGGTTAAACAATACAGCGGCTCACTGTTGACGCCCGGCCGACAGAAGTCATTGAGTACGAGACGCGTCAATTTTAACTATTTTCATTGGACTCATTTCTCTGTATTAATGCGCGAGGAACAAAAAACAAAGGTGTTTTAGGTGTGCTTGGAGCGCGATTTAACGAGATTAAATGCAAATGGATTGGGCAAAAAATTGCAGTAGTTAAGTGATCCATGTTGAAATGATGTCACAAGTCAAACTGTATAAATTGTACGCACACACGTATAGGGTTGACGCGTTTTCCCACTGTTGACAAAATAAGGGCTGAACGCTGAACAGTGCTCCAGGTATTTGTCACAGCAGGTCAAGGCGATGTCGGACACAAGTCCAAGGTATTTGTCACAGCAGGTCAGGGCGATGTCGGACACAAGCCCAAGGTATTTGTCACAGCGGGTCAGGGCGATGTTGGACACAAGCCCAAGGTGAACCAAGTCCTGGAGTTTACAACTGAAACACATAAGCAGCAACTTTGTTGAGAAACTAAGATATTATCAGGACGCATAGAGGACTACTAATGTGTACGTTGTATATTGTCCACAATCTGTCCAGCTTCTATCTTTCTTCACCTTGCTCCAGACAGAGAATATGCGGTGTGGTTACTGGTTATACCATCTGTCCTCACGGTGTGATCCCCTGATTCATCCAGCATGATACATGGTGTGATCCCCTGATTCATCCAGCATGATACATGGTGTGATCCCCTGATTCATCGAGCATGATACTTGGTGTGATCCCCTGATTCATCCAGCATGATACATGGTGTGATCCCCTGATTCATCCAGCATGATACATGGTGTGATCCCCTGATTCATCCAGCATGATACATGGTGTGATCCCCTGATTCATCCAGCATGATACATGGTGTGATCCCCTGATTCATCCAGCATGATACATGGTGTGATCCTGATTCATCCAGCATGATACATGGTGCTTGATCCCCTGATTCATCCAGCATGATACATGGTGTGATCATTCATCCAGCATGATGTGGTGTGATCCCCCTGATTCATCCAGCATGATACATGGTGATGATTCATCCCATGATACATGGTGATTCATCCAGCATGATACTTGGTGTGATCCCTGATTCATCCAGCATGATACTTGGTGTGACGCAGGCTGGCTGGTCAACATTCATGATGATGTACAGTTATATTTGTCAGGAAGAATGAGTGCAGTTGTACCCCGACGGCTGACATTTGTTCGGGCCATTCACAGCCCGTTGTGAAACTGAACATTTTTCGGGCAATCGGCCGCTGTGAAACTGAACATTTATTTTGCTATGGTAAACATTTCACTCACTTATTTTCATGCCATCGAGGCTCAAATGCTTGCAACCCGTGAAGCTCCGTGACAGAATTGATCTTCAGCGACCCATGCTTGTCGTAAGTGACTTGGCTGACACGTGTCATCGTATCCCAGTTGTGGAGATCGGTGCTCATGATATCAGTCACATGATGTTCATGGTTCAGACCGTCGTCGTATAGCTGGAAATTGCTGAGTGCGGCGACATACATAACACATGATGCTTGCAATATAGAATACTACTCCAAAACACATGATGCTTGCAATATAGAATACTACACCCAAACACATTATGCTTGCAATATAGAATACTACACCCAAACACATGATGCTTGCAATATAGAATACTACTCCAAAACACATGATGCTTGCAATATAGAATACTACTCCCAAACTAATTACATCTGACTTTCCACAGTTCAATTAAAAAAACCCACATCCATGTGAACTAGTCTGAGATTGACACCAGCACGTGTTATGATAATCAACATTTATTTGCTGTGTATAAACAGTCCGAGCCACGGCTTCACTCAGATAGATTACAAACAGTGTGTTGATCAATGTTTTCTTTCAATCATCCTATAGTTTCCCGAGGTAGCATGGATGCGACAGTTTGTTACAAATACAGTCGTGTTATAATTGGGTTGTCCTAGTATAACAGAGTAATGTCACAGATTGGTAATGCCGCCGTTTATGAAAATACAATAGTTCCAAAAATATACTAGTCATGTTTGTTGGAGTTGATTTCGTGTTCATTACGGGTTTTGTTTCTATGTATATCATTCCTATGTTTCTATAAGAGAAAACATCATCATTATTATTTCTTGTTATTCTTATTGTTATTATCATTATTTACTACTTTCACGGGCGATGAAGTAGCCTAGTGGTTAAAGTGTTCGCTCGTCACGCTGAAAACCCGGGTTCGATTCCCCATATGAGTACAATATTTGAAGCCCGTTTCTGGAGTCCCCCGCCTTGATAGTACTGGAATATTGTTAAAAGCGGTGTAAAACCCAACTCACTCACTCACTCATTTACTAATTTCAGAGAGCCTCGACTACCGAGCCGGAGTGCGACACACCCTGCAGCTCGAGGAAGTGATCATCATATTCCTGATCGTGATTGTGTGGATAATAGCAGTCTCGGTGTTCATCCGGAAGTGGGACAACATCCGGATCCTGGAGCCGATGGAGCCCAGGTATAAACACGCACCTAAAAACCTGGAGAATGTCAGGATAGTGAAGCGAGCACAAGACAGTGTCATTTACAAAAATTACAGTCGCAAATTATCCTTCACCATGGACCAGAGGGAAAAGAGAAGACTTGAAAGGCTCAATACAGTGCCGCAGATTGGGACATTACCCACAATTCAGATGGAGGAAGTGACAGAAATGTGAAGTCGAGCTCACAAAGTTATCTCCCCTAAGTTGTCGTAAATAGATGCGTCATTCGTGATCACTGGCTTCATACCGGGACAGGTAGCGAAGGAAATGAGCAAGCGACTGGCGAAGGATGTGATGATATATGAAATATGTACGTTTCCGGGTTATGACGTCACAATGATATGTCAGTCGCAATGAGTAGCCAGCAGATGCCAGCATGTCACTGTGACCTGGAGACTGCTTCCCTCTCATAAATGTCACATGTACAGATCACCGACCAATTGTTTCTGTTTTGTTTTGTATTGTGAACATACATGGGAGATAATATGGGCTGATACTTCCGGTATTAACAGACGTTCAAAGCCTTCAATTCAAAGGGGAGATAACTCGTTCACGACGTGCTGTCATGTTTGTGGTGATTCGACGTATGGGCCGCCATGATGTGTCTGTTCATGGAGATGTTAGAAGATTATTGTGATTCTCGACAGGAACACTTATTTCCATTGCTCAAGCTGGTCAGTATGTCAGACAAAAATACGTTAATACCAAATAGCCCAAGAGTTTTCTGGCCATTGGCTATCTAGTTCTTATCAACATTTTAAACATTATGCGTGGCGAAAGTGGACCGACAAATGCAATATATATCATGTCTTATTTTTAAATGTCTTTTTCTGTCATGATGTGTGAGAGAGTATTTAATTCAGCAGAATTATTTATTTTTATGATGTGAATGTGTTACTGAATTTCACCATGTACCAACTCGACTTCTGTCACACTGAGAAACACTATCACTATCCAACACGTTCGCTGTAAACACGTGAGAGCATTCAAAGCACGAGGGTCACGTGCACCCTGCACATAGATCAATAGTCTCTTTCAAAAAATCTTACATTCGATAGCCAACTACATGCATGTACTCCGCTGACAATCGATATGCGTTCCCTACAAGCACGTCAGTAAGACGTATGTGTTATGATATCTACACAGACCCAATAGAATCACGTGCTTCTCGTCACCAACACCGTCTGTCGACACGCACGTGTTTCTGACGACACGTGAAACCAGATACCCTGCTAAGTATATAAGCATATACGATTACGATCAGACTATGGACATGTCGGATTTCGCAATTTCAGGGTTTTTAGAAAGGAGGGATATTATCAACATTGTAAAATATATCATTCCAGATCTCTTCCAGCGGGTTGCCATGTTCACACTGTAGTTGTAGTCACGTGCTAGCATGTTTTCTACAAGTTGACGTACAAATTAATGTCATATAGCCTCACTTCAAATGTTATTTGCTCCATACACCATTGATTCGAGTAACGCCAGGAGGTAGGAAGAGGTGTAGCAGGAGCTCTCCGGTTCTCCGACACATGCAGTTCCACCCTTCAAACTTCGGCCCCCATTTTCTATTTTCTTGTTACACATAGCTCGACTAGCCTACATCTAATGTTTCCTAAAAAACAGTTATCCCCATTACATCCTTTGGAGTTTCTTCGATCTTTGACGAAATAACGTTTACGATATATATATGTATGTGTATGTATATATTCCGATTTAGTCACGAAATGCCGCCATTCCTGCTACTGTTACTGTACACGATAACATCATCCTATATAGTTTCATCATTCATGTTTCTTAATTCCGTATGTTTCATGTTTCTACAGTTCACAATGACATATCTCACTGTATGATATTTCTCAGTTCGTTACTATTTGACAACGTATCCCCCAGTCGGTATCATCGGTAAACCTGGCGTCATCACTGTTTGATAGTGATTCATAAACACATAATCAGGATATTGTCGACAATCTAGGTAACATATTTTATCTGTGTAAAGAACGTTGGCTGTTGATCACGTGACAGTTGTAGCAAGTGTTCAACTTGATGCTCGTACCACACAACCCCAAGATCGAGATGTCAACGTTTTCAAGAAAAACAAAAGAATTAAAGACCAAGTAATCTTGACGGCTCGTTAAAGATCACATTGAAGAATATTAACTTTCTGGAATGTTTCTGAAATCATTAAAACGTCGATAAAGCCCAGAACACAATGGAGAGCTAACGGTCAAACTACCCGAGTTCTCAGATATGATTGTTTTTTGTAATAACATCTATTCGGTTTACTACAAAGAAAATGTCAGTCTACAGTGTCTTATTCCTAGGAGTCGACTGTCTATCTTTATTTATATATATTTTTGTTGGCTTTATTTTACCATGAGTAGAGGGATTAATGCTTTCTGGTAACAGTTCCAGACTCTTCAGCCGCCGGCCCTTCATAAATAGTCTTTATGTACTGGCATGCTGCTTCTCGCAGAATCTTTGTCTAGTGATGTACTTCATGGCGAAAGCACACACAAGCGACGAAGTTCCGAGCTATATGTGAGAGAAGTTAGACGGCAATTATGTGAAGTAATCTTGAATCATATCTTATCGCGTACGTGTAGATAAACTGTGACAAGTAACATCTATGTTGTAATATGACATTCTTGTACAATTGTATTTACACTGTCCCCAAATCAGTCCCCGTTATCTGTTCTAAGAAAAATATGCTTGATGTGTCGAATCTTTCGAGAAGATGAGCTACACATATAACTCGAACCTCGGGACGCTAAATTTATGATAATGTGTCTGTTCAGACCGATTTGTGAAATCTGATTAATTCAAAGTTATAGTTACGTCGAACATCGAGTTTTCGATTGTTTTCGAAACAAAGCGGAGTGGTGCTGGTGCTGATAAAGTTTCGGTCATGTTGCATCGTCGGGAGTTCGTATTAACGAGGTTTTATTGTTGTAATGCGTTTTGTATTACCTTCATTACCATAGAGAGTTGAAATCAACAACCAAAAATGAAATTTCACGATTACTTTGCTTCCTGCGGAACTGGTTCATTTCAGTTCAAAGCATTAATCAACAAAATCACGCTTCATAGATTTTCAGAAACATTTTGAAAAAACGTGCTTTTGCACGACTAAACTCACACACACACACACACTCACACACACTCACACGCACGCACGCACGCACGCACACACACACACACACACACGATAACTACACGGAATCACCTGAAAGCAATATTGGCACACTTTATGGATAACAAGCTCTTTCATTTCGTGAGTGTGGTTCCGATTCTTGTACTGTTGTCAAAGAGGAATGAAGCCCTGTTATACCCGTGTATGTCTCCGTGTTGGTTGTTGTGTTCCGGTGGCTAACATCCATCATTTGTAGAAAAGATTATGTTTGTCAAATATCACGAGCATGATGTTTAGCTCCACCAGTAATAAAGAAGCTAAAGACAAGAACAAGTCAGGAAATACGCACAAAACGATCCGTCTCAGTCCAGTCAGTATGAATATTTCCCTGTACGGCCATGTTGGGGAACAATGCATATTGGGGAACCCTGCACCATTGTGGAGTTGCCTTTCTCAGCAGGTCAGTTGTCAGTTGGGGATGGTAAAATGCAATATTTCAACAGTTCTTTATTGTTTGTTTTACTCGAGACTATGTATAATACTGGCATAAACAGCTTCACTGGGCGCGGGCTCTTTCAGAGTTCCTGTTGATTTCAGGCCAACGCAAGTTTACCGTTTGTCGCCAGATCTGACGTCGTCTGGAAAGTGATCATTAAGGTTCCGGACTTCACATCTCAGAGTTGCATCCCTTGGTCGTGTAAGGAATCGCTGATCACGGCTTCAAATCTACGACGTATTTCACCGATGTGTTAGTAGAATAGAATAAATTGCAGAAGATGCACACAAAAAATTGTTTTAATAAAAACAAACAAAAAATCCCGTCGAGGAACAATTGGTATTCCCGATAGCATTCGATACATTATGCTTAAATATCCAAATATCAATCTGCCCAACCATCTGTCTCCCAACATCTATATTGATGACTAATCCCTGTCGATATTGATCTAACAAAATAAGAACAGGTGACCTTTGTAGAACGTCACTTACAATACCACGCCAAGGCTTCGGCTCACACAAGTGAGTTTGTGTATACAGTCACCTGCCCGACATCGTATCCTGGACCGGCAGCAGTGCGTGTTGTTGGTGACGCAGACACTGACGTCATGCATGGGAGTTCGGTCACCATGGAGCCTCGTGTCAGACACTGGGTGTGTGCTATATATCAAAATTAAGCTGAAACCACTCAAATATGCCATTCTGGTTTAATTAGTTGTGGCTGGGATAAGTGTCTATTATAGTTAAGCTACTACCTCTGTCTGCAACATGTAGATATAGCGGTATAGAGAGTGAGGGGATATACATGGGTATCCGGCGCTTTGCTGGTGTGTGGTCGACTCCAGGCCTGCAACAGCAGACAATCAGTGTCCGACCATTTTATTTATCAAGGTTGAGGACCGGGATTAAAGCAGAATTAGATTTTTCCGGAGAATGTGGAAAAGAAAATATCGTTGTCCGGTTTTACAAAACAAAAGCGTCACCAAGAGTGATTAAGCTCCATCCCCAGAGAAAGACATTGTATAATTTCGCCCGATCAAACTAAGTGATATGATAAAGCATATTCTTACAACATTGCGTTGATTCGCTGGAATGGCAATCAGGGACACAACTCTGATGGCCAACGGATGCAGCTATGGCATGCAACCACACGAATCGATATGACACTTGAACTGAAAACCATTATACAATACAGCTGTGTCTGACTTAATGTTACCATATTGCTCAGATATTTCTCCAGATTTTTTAGATGCTTTTAATTTACCAACGAACACTCAGATGGCCAAAACGCAGCTTCCTGTCTGTGAGGTTACAAGTACACTGCGTATTACTAGCAGGGGAACCAGTTAGTCAGTCGTGACCAGCGACTGGGATGCGGGCGCTAACGCTAGATTCCTCCCATCATTGATTCAAGCAACGAATTACATTTGAACTTCAAATGATTCGGAATCTGCTTCTGCACGCAAAGACTATCAATATTATTTTTGAATGTGTGACCATGTTTGTTTTGCGGAGTGGGCGCGTGGGGCTGAATTGATGAACGTTGCATACAAATCTAAACTTCTGAATGATGTAAAACGGGTTTTAATGTCAACCATTCATTTGCATCATGATGTTTTTTGTATTGGCGTGACTGGAAACCAGGGGAAAGCAAATAAATTTCATTTCATCTACTCAAAGCGTTCTGCGTTTAGTTTTTCCCTGGCTGATACAAAGCTGTACTTATTCCGAGATGGGATACTTTACAT